GAAACCAGCGGTGAGCGTGAATAGATTTCAACTGGTTTAAATAAACAATTAAGAAATTGTGGTATTGAAGGGACGATACAAGGATATGGGATAGATGAATAGCCCAGGACAGGAAATATACCCCAACTAATTAGCAGACAATTGGTCAAAGGATCGACTTCACCTGTCTCTTTGACGAGTTGTATTGTGGTGCTAAGAGTGGCAAGGCTCATTGACGATGCCGGCAAAACGTCTGGGAATGTACTAAGTCCACGGTCCGACTATGAGAATTATCATGCATACTATGGATTCCAGACAAGGTGTGCTCCTTTCATTATGACGGAGTTGCGAAAGCAAGGTCAAACAACTTCTATACAACAAAAGGAGACCGCGACCATACAGAGAGCCACACCCTCCTGGTCTTCATAACTTCGATCAAAATATGTTTAAACTACCTTGCAGGGAGTAGTACCCCGGTCCAGGATGTATAGATGATGCACAGCAGTCTGTCTGGAATCGTAAGGGTGGTTGGATATGCGGAAGATATTGAAGGCGTGCCCCTGAGTGCAAGCGGTAAAGAGCAGGTAACCAGAAGGATCGAATAGCAGCCGGGAGACTGGAGCCCAGCGATGAGCCTAAGGATGGAAAGTGAAATGACCAATAAAAGAGAAAGGAGAATAAAATAGTGGAGCCACATTTTCATTTTTTATTAGGAAGGGTGGTGGTTGTAGTAGCGGATCCTGGCTAACCAAATAAAAATTTGCCAATCAATTAATAATTCAAGATTTAAATTTGACAAGGTTTTCGTATAGAATTAAAAATTAGTTCACTGGTAGATTTGGGTTGATCATATGGAAGATCAACTGGCGAACAGTCACATTTTCGGCTTATTCTAAGCCCTTTAGCATAAAGGTTAGATTTATTAGAAAGCTTGTGTCACGATCCAGTAACTCTTGAACTATAATAGAATATGGTTAATTTCTGACAGTCAGCAAAAGTACAGCAAGAACGAGAGTGAATGCCCAATTTAGCATCACACAGAATACAGTGAAAAGAGAAGTCCGGATTCCTTATAGCGACAGGACGAAGGCCTCTTTGAAATGGGTGGATATGGTAGTATGATAGTATAAATTCGTTCAGAACCTCAGTGATATTAAAATATTTAAAACATTAATCCCAAATCACAATTGATCAACTTAAAGTAAGATCGCAAACAATAATGACAAAAGCTGTTGGTGGCCTGATTTTACGTAAAGCCTCAGCCGAATTTTGGCGTGAAAACTTGCCCTGCTAGTCATATACCAACCATACATCAATCATAGAAACCCATGTCTACAGTTCACAAACAATCACTAAGTTTGAAGTCTCACTGAGCGACTATACAACGACTCCACTATTCCCCTTTTCCATGCCTATCCAGTGTAAAACGTCCAACCTTTCATTCACCTCTTAGCTACCACAGCACCAATATTGATCCACTCAAAAGATGAGACGAGATGTTTGGAGGATTGAATCCATGGGCTGTATGATTAGGAGACAATAAGTCTAAGTCTGTCACTGATGTGTCTATTTGCATATTGTGTTTACATGTTCCGGCTTGCTGTGATCTATAATGGAAGCAACGTGAGAATAAATATATCAAAGTCGTATAGTCAAGTGCATTCTCCAATTGTTCCATTAAGGACACCGTCAAAAGCGATCTCATATGAACGGGGATATCGAGTAACTACATAATCGCAGCCAAACCACAGTTCAAAAATAGCCGTTGACATCCCCAGCTTCCAGCAAGAATAAGCTTTGCTTGACGGTATTAAGTGAGCTAAGGGCTGAAAATAAATCGATTGTAAATCTGAGTGCGGAAATATTGAGTTAATGCAAAACAGATAGGAATTTCCATGCTTAACACTTGAATATCGATCTCAGAAGAAAACACTTTGAGGCAAGGTTCGATTCCTTCACTGATAGAATGTCCCCCTAAGGAATTTTTGCCTGACCCAAAAAAGTCACCGTGTGCAATATCCAAGTAATAATAGACTGGGTGAAAAGCTAACAAAGCAAATTAATCAACTTTACTGGCATATGATTGCAACATTGGGTCGGGAAATTTTGCAATTGAATCGCCAGAAATGTACATTCTACACCAATAACCTTAATTAGCCGGCCTAATCTGATAATATTCAGCTAAAAATCGATGGTCTCATTTAGTTTCGGCAAGCCATCATTCCAATTGCGTCGAAAAGAACTCGCTTAGAAAATAAGCCACAGAAGAATATACTCACTATTTTTGTGTGCATTCGAAGCTTTGGTGTTAGAAGTGGTTCAATAACTCTCTTGAAAGTGACAAATGAAGCGTATACGTCTTGTTGGTCTAGCAAGTCGGCAAAGGATGGTCAATCAACGCTGATGTCAAAACATGTAGGCACTGAGTTAGAAAATAAAAACTAAACATAGGCCAGATATGCCCCCGCTTTGCCCATAAATCATTCGAAGTATAATAAAGCGCATCTAAATGAAGAGATACTGAGTGCAGCGGTGCTCCTTTAAGCACAATTGAGCAACACGCAGAAAGCAATATGAAAAGACGTGTATGAATGACCCTTTTAAGCCTATAGGCCTAAGGGAGATTAACAATACACTTTACTCACTAGGAAATGAGCCACAATCACGCGATCGCCGTTGAAGTTGTGTACGTTGATCGGTGGTCTCCTGAAAGCAGATATCCCAGCCGCCGGAGTCCAATCCGCCCGATATACTCTCAAGGGATCAGTCATTGGTGGTTCAGGAGGGCTACGGGTAGGCTGGAGCAATGAGGATTGGTCAGGGTAAGAGAATGGCTGCACAAGTGGCTTCGATGGCTGCGTTGGTGATGTCTGTGACGGTGGATAATATAGAACGGGTCACTGTGGCACGTAAGCTTACATACAAAATGAAGACAAGTATTGTGTTCAGCCTATTTCAGCTAAGGTGTGAGGGACTGGCAGTCAACCTTTACCACAATTTGTAGGCCATATGTTCCCATTGAATGGCACGTTGCCTTGCCTCCCAGAAGGCATTCTCATCCAAACTACGACTGGCCGACAACTCAAGCGAGACTCGAATTCTGGTAGTGCTATCACTACAACATCTGTCGAGACTATACGTCGCACGACCCAGATTCAAGTCTTCCTGAATGTGCTGCTAAGGCCCAAGCAAGATCGAAACCTCACTCCACCCTGGAGGATAATACTTTTAGGGAAAAAAGGCTATGTGAAATGCAATGGAAACGTGAGGCCTACCCAGATCATAGTATGAAAATGCTATCGCCATCATCATCCTTCATACCTTCATCACGCTAAACGAGATAGCGTAAACACAACTCTAATTCAAGACCTACTAGTAGTCTCAAAATCCTACTTTAAAAAATATACTGTTGCTTATAGACTATCTAGCTTATCTAAAATATGAATCACCATTAGAATAAAACATAAATTTTTTTAATCGAAGGTATGAAGACCAAGATGGTGTACCCTTTTGTGTGGTCACAGTCTCCCCTTCGTTGTATAGAAGTTGTTTGACCTGGTTTTCGCAACTTGGTCATATTAGTATGAAGACTTATATAAACTCACCTTGTCCTGAGTCCATTGTATGCATAATCATTTCCAAAGTCGGACCGTGGACGTGGTACATTTCCAGACGTTTCGCCGGCATCGTCAGTGAGTTTTACCATTCGTAGCACCATATTACAACTCGTCAAAGAAACAAATGAAACCGATCTTTCGATCAAACGTGTGCTAAACAGTTATGGTATCTCCTCTTCTACCCTGGCCTATTCACATTTCCTATATCCTCCTATCACGCCTTTATTGTCACAATTTTTTACTTGCTTAATCAAATGTGGTACGATGTGCCCTTTTCAGCGGCTTTTACGAGAACCCTCCGCACTCCACACTGGCCTTCTCACCCCCCTTCATCCTTGTGCTGAGAATGTTCATCAGAGTATGCCATATTGTTACGCAGTCCTACTGGTTCACATATTTCACTCGACCCCTGCCACCTCATCTGTGCCACTTGAGGCGTTATTGGCCATAGCCTGCGTCTGGGTGACTAATTCGAGGCTAAAGCCTCAGAGTCAGTGTCATGCTCACGCCTTTGCCACATGGACCACGTCTCTTATAAAACCTACTGTCAGCCTACTAGCTCACATCGCCGCTACGTCTATCCTGTTTCTATCTCTAATACCATGTCTATGGAATTCCCATGCCCTAGTCTCTTGTGTGCCAACCCACAAATGTTGTGGTACTGCTTGCTTTGGTTAGTATTCCGGGATTTGCCCCTGCAAGTACTATTTGAAAGACCAATCTCCTTAATTTGCAGGAAATGAAGGGAGAATGTTCGCATCAAGAGATATCGTGTTAGGACCATCACGCCTTCCAAAACGTCGACTTGCGTCGCGCTCAGTCTGGACCGTAGTTTGGCAGCGACTTTACTGTATTTCATCTCGTATGCCGAATCTTCATGATCGATGACCACTTTAGTCACTGCTAGCTGAAAGAGCATAAACAAATCTTTGTATGGAGCCTTAAAGAGTGCCTCGGACAATATATATATATATATATATATATGCACACAAAGGACTGCTTATAATCCTTAGACTAGCAGTGACCTATTTTTACACACCTCCACCAAACCCACTTCACACTGGTTTTCACCTAGTGGGCTTAACTTCGTGCCAGGCTAGCGTCAAACGCCTGATAATTGCCCTTGGGCTGACATCAGACCTCAAAGACATAACTACTTCGTCTGAATGAGGGAGACAGCAAAAAGCAAGCCTACGTCCGTAATCCACCTTTTCCACACAGAGCGCCCATAAGAACTGCTTTTTCATTATCTAATCTCGTTGCCTAGCCTGCATATAACAGGACTCAAACCCCCAGTTCGTGAATAAAACGTTCTTGTCTAGCAAGGGGTAAATACGGAAGCAAAGATCAGGGTTCGAGGCTATCTTTCCAATCAATGTGCCACCTCATTTTAGCTCTAAACTTCCAGCTACTTTTCAGTCACATAAGCATTTCTGCCACTAATCCCTTCCTAAATATGCTACATATTCAGCTTCAGCTCTTGCTACTGCTTCATCATGATGCGCAGAAGTAGAGAGGATCGTAAAGAACCGGTCTGAAGCCAAGCCTACTAGACACAAAAGACTCGTTTCACACAGGCTTTTGAGAAAAATATAGCCGATAATTGCGAAATCATAACTATCTTGTAAACAGCTCTTTATATTAATTAATAACAATAGGTATATTTGTGCCTTATATTGATTCCTTTTTGTGTTCTTTGTTGGCTAGTTATGAATAGACAACACTGGGCGAGATGGCGCAAATGCACCGCCCAGTTTCCATGACGTAAATACTCGAGTTACATATTCTGATCGACTCGGGTCTTGGCATAACATTTAGGTAAATTGTGTAGGCTCGCCTAGTGAGAAATCAACCCATATCGATGACAAAGTTAAGTAAGGCTGTGGGTATAGAAAACTACATATTTTCGTGGGTTCTATTTGTCGCTTTAGAATATGGGCAGAAGATATTCGTAAATTGAATGATAGCCTTGGAGCTGACTGAATTTATGCAAACAAGTCCTCAGCACAGCGTCCTTTGACTCTTATTATTCCGTGCTATACCAAGAAATAAATATTAACTGAGTACTTTGCGAAGGCTCAGCACGGATTAATCGGGTCCGAAAGACGATGCGTAGGGGATAGATTCTCACAAATCCAGTGACAACTCCAAAGCAATCTTTCTTCGGTCTCCGATGCGGCCAATTTACGAATCCCTTTCATCAGCCTTTTTAAGCAATAAAAGGCATGAAAACACGAATTTATCAAGGGATTCGTGCAAATTCTGATTCTTTCCTTATCGAAGAATTAAAAATGGTATAGAAATTAGCCCGCAAGTATGCTTACTAAGGCAAAGAAATTGGAATAAAAATATCAAATAATAAAAATCACTACCACAGAATAATATGTAAACCTTTGTAAATGAATGAAATCTTAACTTTGTTGTGCATTCCTTAGTTATGTATAAGAATTAGATGTATTTATATATGTATAAAAGATATATTGATGTTAGAAAGATTAATGATTTGCTATAGCAACTATTGACAGTTCCATTAGAAGACCTACAAAAACCAGTTAAGTTGCTGATCCTGAAATCCTAACAAAGAAAGCCAGAGCTAAAAGTGGGGTGGATAAAGAACCACAGCATTAACGAGCCACTAACAGCCCGCTATCCACTACGCGCCTCAATAAATGAACACCTGAAACAAAATTCATTCAGTCAATCGCCTTCTAAGAGCATTCTTCCAGCTACAGTTATGCAATGCACCTCATAACTTCTCATAACATCAAGTCAGGCTGAAGCTGAGGTCCAGCGGAATAGTCAGAAGCATCCATTCTGAACGCGCTAAATTACTATTGAAGCAAGTTAGCTTCGATCCCAAAAGTTTAGCTTTCATGCCCGCCCTAACGCAGTGCCAACCTTGATATCGCATAATTTGCATAATTTGACT